GTTTGGCATCAGGGATGCCCCACCCTGGAAGGCTGGGGGAGAGGGCTGCTGGGTGCCAGTTAGGGTGGTGTTGAATTGCAGCACCCATAGGTGGGGGATCAGGGGGTTCGGTCGCCTGCCTCCATCGCTGGGAGCCGGCAGCAGCGAGCATGCTGGGTAATTTCATGCTAATTAGGGAGAACAAAGAGGGAGCGGGCTCGAGGGGGGGGACACGCTTGGGGACGATGGCCCCACCACCCCCTGAGGCAGGGGCTGCGGGAGAGGGGACGGGGAGATGCCAGGACAGGGGTCCCCTTGGGAGCTTTGTGTATGTTCATTAATTAAGCGCTGTAATTAGCACTGGCAGAGGGGTGGGGGCGGATGATGGCAGCCCCGGGTTATCCCCATCCACAGCATACCCTCCTGTTCCCAGGCTCAGCAGGGTCAGCAGAAGCAGGCACAGGTCCTGGGGATGGGGACATGGGGCGGGAGGGGGATGGGGACCCCCACGCTCTGTGTCCGGCAGATCTACCGGCGCTGCTGGCTGGTCTTCAGGAAATCCTCCAGCAAAGGGCCCCAGCGCCTGGAGAAGTACCCGGATGAGAAGTCTGCATGCCTGCGAGGGTGCCCCAAGGTGAGGGGGTGCGCTGCAGGGGTGCTGGGGTGCTCCCCACTGCGGGGGGCCCCATGCCAGACCACGTCCCTCCTTGCCTCAGCTTGCTGGGTGGCTGTTGCCCCATGTGGTCCAGTGGGATGGAGCTGGGTCTGGGTGCAGCAGGGAACAGGGTCTGGGTGCAGTATCTGGAGTCTGGATGCTGCAGGGGCCAGGGTGTGGGTGCAGGGGTTGACAGGGTCTGGGAGCACAGCAGGGCTCTGGGTGTAACCCTCAGTGTTGCCCCCCAACCTCCTCTGCAGGTCACTGAGATCAGCAACGTCAAGTGCATCACCCGGCTGCCCAAGGAGACCAAGAGACAGGCCGTGGCCATCGTTTTCACCGACGACTCCGCCCGGACCTTTACCTGCGACTCAGGTACGAGGCAGCGCCCACGGATGCCGGGCTGGGGGTGCTGGGTGAGGCACCCTGGCTTGGCCAGGGTCGCCCAGGGGCTGCCGTGGTGCCTTGCAGAGCTGGAGGCGGAGGAGTGGTACAAGACGCTGTCAGTGGAGTGCCTGGGCGCCCGCCTGAACGACATCAGCCTGGGGGAGCCCGACCTGCTGGCGCCCGGCGTGCAGTGCGAGCAGACGGGTGAGTGTGGCACGGGGTGCCCGCCCGCGGCTCCACCCCGCTGCGCTGCACCCCCCACGGATTATTTTATTTTCTGGTTTTTTCCCCGTCTCCAGACCGGTTCAACGTGTTCCTCCTCCCCTGCCCCAACCTGGACGTTTACGGTGAGTGCAAGCTGCAGATCACCCATGAAAACATCTACCTCTGGGACACGCACAACCCCCGGGTGAAGCTGGTCTCCTGGCCCCTCTGCTCCCTGCGCCGCTACGGCCGCGACGCCACCCGCTTCACCTTCGAGGCCGGGCGGTGAGATGTCACCCTTGCCAGGACGGGGATCAGTGCTGGATGCCTTCCTCCAGCTGGATGCTCCAGGAGATGGCAGTGCTGCCATCACCACAGGGCAGGCCTGAGGCTGGGGTGATGGCCACGGCCTGCATAGGGTGCCCCAAGGCGGGGGGGCATTTGGAGCTGGGTCTGGTCGCAGCTCAACACCATGAAGGGGACATCGGGACAGCTCTAACAGCATGGGAAGCCGGGCCAGCTGCCACCTGGGGTGGGTTTTGTTTATCACCCCTGGTGACCTTCCGTGCCCCATCCCTGCAGGATGTGCGACGCAGGGGAAGGTCTCTACACCTTCCAGACGCAGGAGGGTGAGCAGATCTACCAGCGCGTGCACAGCGCCACGTTGGCCATCGCTGAGCAGCACAAGAGGGTCCTGCTGGAGATGGAGAAGAACGTCAGGGTGAGCTCCAGCCCACCCCGTGGTGGGGCACAGCAGGGGGAGACTCAGGGGGCCCTGTGTCACCCTTCTCCCCCTCTCATCCACCACAGCTGCTGAACAAAGGCACTGAGCACTTCTCCTACCCTTGCACCCCCACCACCATGCTGCCCCGCAGCGCCTACTGGCACCACATCACCGGCTCCCAGAACATGGCTGAGTCCTCCAGCTATGCTGGTGAGTGTCCCTGCTCCCCTGCCAAGGAGCTGCTGATCTTCCAGCCCCCATGGCATTCCCAACTGAGTGAGCCCACCCTCTGCTTTGTCCCCAGGGGAGGTGTATGCGGGCGCCCAGGCCAGCTTGGACACCGACCTCCTCAACAGGTTCATCTTGCTGAAGCCAAAGTCCTCCAAAAGCGACAAGCCTGAAAGCAGGGAGCCCACATCATCCCCGTGAGCTGGCGGGCGGGGGGACTGGGGCAAGGGTCCCCGTTTTCCTCCCCAGAGGGTGGCAAGGACGCAGGCAGCCACCCCTCAGAATCCCCAGGAGACCTTGGCATCTCCATGCCAAGACCTTGGGGAGCAGGCGCTGGCTCGTGCCCTGGCGTTAGTGGAGGCGACGGCTGGATCAGCCTTGACTGACTTCAAATATATATTGAATATCTGTATTGTAAGAGATATTTCCTTCTCACACAAATGCAAATGTGGTGGCTGCCGAAGGGCCCTTGGGCAGATGCTCAGAGGTTTTTTGACTCTTGGGGATCCTGCTGGGAGGTGAAGAGAACTGGGGGGAGGGGTGTCAAGAAATTCGGAGTGTTTTCTGCGAGGCAGGAAGGCTGGAGCATCACCCTGCCATGGGCAGGGAGCAGCACCAGAGGATGCGGCTGTGCCAGGCTGATGGTGCAGGGTCCCACCCTCCCGTGAAGAGCGGGGTGCTCCTGGGGACACCCTGCCACCCCTGAGCTGATTTTTGCACTTCAAGCTGTTTAAACTCGCTGTAGAATTGAGACGTCTCAGGAGAAACTGGTTTTCCTTCCAAGGGGGTTGGGTGGGTGAGCAGCTGGGCAGGGCCAAGCTCCCCAGCTTCCCGCAGCACCCCTCACTCCTCCAGCCACAGTCATGTGCCCCTGCTGTACCCCTGGTTTATCTGCTGGTGGGCAACCCCGGGACTGGTTTTGGCCAGTAGCATCTGTCTCTCGAGGGGCAGCTTTGTGGATATAGGAAGTCCCAGGGCAGAGAAGCTCATGCCAGTGGGGGGAGAGCTGCATTCCTCTGTGCATTCCCATAGCCCTCACTCCCCCCTCACCCACTGGGTACCAGCCCTTGCCCGGGGGGGGAGGAACTGGGCTTTATGTGCTGAACTCAAAAGCAATTGATTTTTTTCTAGTTCTATTTATCGACCTCCTTTAGAAGGGCTATCTTTTTATTGCCGTGCAAACTTTGTTGTTTCTTTGGAGTCTTCTTTCTGTCTGGGTTGGATGGTTAGTGGTTTTCTTTCTGCCCTTTAAAGCTCCAGGTCCATGTGTTGGGCACGGGGAGTGTTGTGATGTGGGAACCTGTGGTCTGTAAATACTGTGTCTTGGGGTTGGTGTAGCTTGTGGCTGAGGCTGGACAGAGAAGGGCCACTCCCTGCAGCATGGCCGAGCACGGAGGAGCTCGTTGGACCCCAGCACTGCCTGGCAGCACATCCTCCCCTGGGTGAGAGGTGTAATTTGCTCTCTTTTCCTGGCTACACACCTCATCTGGAAAAGATGTAACATTTGTTACCAAAAATGTTTCAGTTTTCTGTTTTTTAAGGAGTTGCTCAATGAATAAACAACCCTTATCCACATCCACCCTTCCTGTTTGTCTGTTCCATCCAAGCGCGCTCGGGAAGCGCAAGTGGGAGTCGTGCCTGCCAGGGAGAAAAATGCTGATGGGGGGAGATTTCCTGAGGCTCCTGGCAGCAAGCTTGGCTCAGAGCTTTGTTCTGCCTCCAGCCATGGCCAGGACACTTCAAGTGAAGCCCTAAAACTGCTGGGATAGGGAGAAGGGTGGAGCGAGTTGCCACTCTCCATCAAGCAACCCTAAGTGAAACAGGATGCCAGCACTCCATTGTTATCCCTTCCCTCCAGTCACCTGAAGCTCCAGGGATGTGCCAGGGTAGTGGTGGCTTCAAGTCCTCAGGTAATGGAGTTTCAAGCCACGTCATCTTCCAGCTCTCCCAGAGTTGTGCCAGGTAAGTTATCCATGCCATGACTGCCTGGCAGTGCTGGCCTCACGGTGAGACAGCCATGCCAGCCGATGGAGTGCTCCCTCCAGGAACAGGCAAGGACACGGAAGCAGAAGCCCAGCTGCAGCAGCTTTTCCACAGAGAAGAAGGCAGTGCTGACACAGGCTGCTCTCTCCAGCTCAGTATGACCCTGTCACCACTCCCTGAGCCATCCCTATGTCCCATGTCAGGGGCACACATGCCTTCCCCTCCCTCCCAGCCCCCATGGCAGAGAAGTGGCAGGTCTCCCCAGGAAAGTGTCACTGAGAAGCTCATCCCAAGCCATGCTGGGCACTGATGGAGGGGAGGAGAAGGGGTAACCCAGGCCATTGCTGGAGCCTTTAAGCCACTGCCAGAGGGGTCAGGGTATGGGACCTGCACCAAGCTCAAGCCCAGCACACCCTCGGGGCTGTGGGCACACTGAAAGGTGTCATCCAGGGTCATTCCTGACAGACCCCCTGACAGCCAGCTCTTCACAGAAAGGTTATACACACAGAGGGGTGTGTGTACAGCTCCAAAGGAGTCTGTAAGTACAGCTTTGCCTGCCTGACCCAGCTGGGCTCCCCTGCAGTGCTGCCTTCTGCAGCATCTTGCCCACCCCGGCTTCAAACATCTGCTTCGAACACGGCGCTGGTTGAGCGAACGCTGGGCTGCCTGCGGGAGGGGTGCTGCTCTCCTCGGGAGATAATGTCACGAGCAGCCATCAGCATCAGCAAGCAAGGCTCCCTCCAAAGCACATCTCATTAAGTTAATGCCTATTGGAGAGAAGTAAATGATGTGACATCTCCTCCTGCAGCCCCGGCCGAGCTTTCAGGGATGACAGAAAAATGTGGGGGTAAGGCTTTATTCAGCACAGTGAGGAATGGACATGTAAATAAGGTAGGGTTGTGTAACCAAGGTATACACTTCCCAATCCCAAACACCACATGTCCAGAATCCAAAACCAGAACCAAAACTCTCGGATCTGTTGGAAACAAAGCCTGTCCTAGCGAAGATGCTCACTGATTGATTCCCTTCCCGTTTTACCCTACACAACACAACGGCTTTCCCTGGAAAGCAAGGTCAGGGAAGAGCCGTCACCAACTAGCAGAGCTGGGCCAGGAAAGGCAGAGGGAGACGGGGATGTAAAAGCCTCTCCCCAGATCACGGCCAGGTAGAGGAAAGGACCTGCTCCATCACTCACACCTCAGCACTCTCTCACAAGGAGCCACCTCAGTTAATAGTGAGGACGTCGCTCTGAATCTCGTGGCTCAGCTGGGTCTGGAGGTCGCTCAGTTTCTTCTTCAGGCCGGACAGTGCGGACAGAACGATGGTCTCCGGGCGCAGGGAACCGCAGGACTCCACGTTGTAATAGAACCTGAGGTTATTATCAAGGGGTTAAGTCACCATCTGCTCTGCAGGCATGTGCAAGCCCAGAGTGCAGGCACAGAGCAGTTCCAGCCCATCCCTACCCACCGCAGGGAGATCTGCCGGAATTCCAACCACCAGCATCATTCACCTCCCAACCAGGCAACAGCCAGCACTGTCCCTCTACAACTGTCACACCAACACTCACAACTTTATGGGCTACAAGACCATTTCTGGGATTGATTTCTGTTCAGCACCATGACCTGCGAGCCAGCACAGAGCCCCATGCCAGGGAGTAAGGCTGGCTGAGCCACTTCTGCAGTGCAAATAACACCAGCAATCAGAGCACAAACACACACAGGTGAATAAATGCCCTAAGCCACTTCCCCCTGCAGGCCTCACACTTCACCAAGTTGCCCTACCCGGCAACACAAACTCAAGAGAGCTGTCTATTATCTCCCAGAGGGAAAAACCTGCCAGATCTGGGCATATCACCAGATGACTCCAGTTCTGCTCTGCTTTTCAGGGAACATCAGCTCCCTGGGCTGGCAACTTCAGCACAGAGTGGACACTCTTCTATTAATAAGAGCAGATGAGATGCACCCAACCAGTCCCCCCACCTTCCAGCTGTGGCAGTGCATTCAGCTCCCTACCTCTCTGGCTTCCCGTTGGGGTCATAGGGAGCCTGAGCATCCTCGTCGTCGATCTCCGAGTACTCACTCTTGGGCCTGGAATCAGAGAGCAGGAGAGGTCAGCACAGAGCCCCTGCTCTGGCCTGGCCCCACAGAGCCCAGGCACTCAGTTTGGCCCCAGAGAATGAGCATGGGGTTGCTCAGCACACATCAAGTCCCAGAAAAATGCTCAGTCCCACATTGCCCTTCCTGGCTCCTCATTAATGCCATAGAGTCACCCAGTAGTGCTGGAGGAGGGGGCTGCTCTGCCCAAACACAGCAAGCCCAGTGCAGGTGCTCACAGTGAAGGGATGTCAACGCCTGAAGGGACTGTCTATGGAGCCTGGATGCTTCTACAGAGTAACGGACCTTGTGTTATCTTTTCTTTCCCCTTTCCACTAGGCCAGGAAAGCACCAGAGCACCCCAGAGCTCAAGTCTGTGGAGCACAGTTGAGGTGGGAAAGCACAGTCGGCTTGGACCCAGCAGGAAAGAACCTCCTGTACCTCAAACACCATCTGCATCAGTGAGCTCCATCCTGATGTCCTGCACCTCCACTCCTCTACTAAAATCACTGCAATACCCACGCATCAGTTAGTCAAACACATCTTTCTACCCACTGCACCCCTTGGTTTATAGAGCACCATATCAGAGAGACTCTGTGGGAGCACTTAATCTGTGTAAGAAAACCCAAAGCCTTGAGCTGTCTGAAAAGCCAGCACAGAAAATCCTGTGCCCACCAAGGTCTGCTGCTGGCCTTCCTCTGCCCCAGCAATGCCCAGAAATGCTGATCCCAGCACCCTGTCATCAGCTGCCTGAAATAAAACTGCATTTCTCAAACAAACCCTCTGCCTGTACAAACCACTGAGAAAGATAAAAGTGTTAACGGAGCTGGGACTTCTCACGACTTGCAGAACCACTCATGACCGAAACAGAGCAGAGGTTTCCACCACCAAGGCAGCTGTTTGGAAAGTCCAGCTGCATGCCAGTGCTCTGCCAACAGCCTCAAAAAGCAATTAGCATGGA